ATGAAGGTGCAACCAAAAAGTGTGGAGAACAAGTGGTGGTCAGGAAGCATCTGCCAGCTCAGGATTAATTAACTAATTCATTAATAGATTTGGATACTCACTGCGAATTTGGTTAGGATGTAAGCACCAGCCCCAACTCCAATTCCAATCACATTCTGTATACTGCGAAAAAAAAAAAATCAGAAAACTAATCATTATGCACGCTTGAGGCAAATGAAGAGAAAGGTCATTCTGTTGTTGAGGGGAGGGGGGGGGGGGGGAGGGGGATTCACAGATGAAGAGGTGGGGGGGGGGTGGGGAAGCCATGATACACTCCAAGCCCATTTCTGCAATCAACTCACTTTAAATGGGTTAAAACTGTGGGCAGCATCTCAGCCAACTCATCCATGGTTGGGTACTGGTACCTGCAAAATCAGAAGGCAGAAAACACTACATCAGGAATGTTCCACTGCTGTCCTTTCCATGCAGCGATTTACTGCAGCCCAACATCCTGGTAATTTCAGGAACAGCATCCCAAGGTCTGCAGGTCCATGTGACAATCCCAAAGGCAGGAATATATCAACTTCTGAACCCTACAGCCTTCAGGGACTTAATATCGAGTTCAATAATTTTAGGGCCTGAGCACCTTTTCCCGTGTCCTTTACCCAACCCCACACTCCAGGCCTTGGGCTGCTTTCATTACAGCCAACGCATTTTCACCCACTAATGGTTCCCATTTGCAGCTTTTCTTTTCCCTGGTTCATTATTATCCACCCCTTTGTCTGCCCAACTGATGTTCCCTCTTGCTGGGCTCCATCTGTCTCCACCTATCGTCTACTCCTTCTACTCTTCAGCATATATACCAACCTTTTCCTAGCTACAGTTAGTTCTGAAGGAGGGTCACTGGACCTGAAACATAGACTCTGCTTTCTCTCCAAAGATGCTAACAGACCTATCGAGTTTCTTCAGCAATTTCTGTTTCTGTTTCAGATCTCCAGCATCCACAGATCTTTGCTTTGATGTCAATTTCTGGGTTCACTTTAGCAATACCAAAACCTCTTGTCCTATTTACCTGAGCAGGTAATGGGTTGCAACTGTTTAGAAGTAAACATTGGACCAGTTGATCTATTCCCCTGGTCTTCCTACGTTGCCTCTGTTTCTTCAAGTTGCATTACCATCACATCTGCAGCTAATCATATCTCAGGAAACTGGTATGAATGCAATTAATCAGTTTTGATTAAAATTATTTGCACCGCCGACATGTCAAGTACACCGTTTTCACACCTCTCTCCCCCACCACCAAACTCCTCACATACCCCACCATCATTTATGGGCAGCACGATGGCCCAGTGGTTAGCACTGCTGCCTCACAGTGCCAGGGACCTGGGTTCGATTCCACCCTCGGGCGACTGTCTGTGTGGAGTTTGCACATTCTCCCAGTGTCTGCGTGGGTTTCCTCCGGGTGCTCCGGTTTCCTTCCACAGTCCAAAGATGTGCAGGTTAGGTGGATTGGCCATGGTTATGGGGATAGGGTGAGAGCTGGGTCTAGGTGGGATGCTCTTTAGAGGGTGGGTGTGGACTCGATGGGCTGAATGGCCTGCTTCCACACTAAGGTTTCTATGATTCTACTATCACCTCCCAGCCATTAATGAAATGAATCTTATGGAAAGCCTGTATATGTTTGCAGTTTAGGAGGCTGGAAATTCAATCTTCATTGGTAAATACACTTCACATTCACCACATTTTTCCATGCTGGATGTCCAGTGTAAAGTACTGTGATGTGATTTCTGTTCTATATACTTCACGTTTTATGAACTAAAATAATAAGTAGGAGGTGTGTCCAAGATTCTGTTCTCCCAGACTGGAAGAATCGAGTCTGCAGTGTATATGCTCAATCCATGCTTTCTCAAGGGAACACCAAGGGAAAGATAAAAGTGCCTTATGCTTCCTAGAAATCTATTGCTTACCTGACAGGTTCTATTGTAACATGACTCTTAAAAAAAAAGTGCTAAGGAATTTTATTCAAATACAAGGTGCCATTAGTTTGGCTGGCATTCCTTTTGCATAAATAACCATCACTCAAGCAATGATCTCACGACGGATTCTTTTCTTTCACAGGAGGTGGGCATCACTGATGAGCCCAGCACTTATTGCCCATCCCTAATTGTCCTGGAGGTGGTGGTGGTGAGCTGTTTTACATCCACAGTGCTGTTGGGGTGGGAATTCCAGGATTTTTACACCGCAACACTGAAGGAACGGCGATATATTTCCAAGTCAGGATGGTGAGTGACCCGTAGCGGAACTTGCAGACAGTGATGTTCTCACGTATCCGCTTCCCTTGTCCTTCCAGGTAATAGTGGTCACAGGTTTGGAAGGAGCTCTCAGAGGAGCAGCTTTTAGATGGTACACACTGCTGCCACTGTGTGTCAGTGATGGAGGAAGTGCATGTTGAAGATGGTGAATGGTGTGCCCATCAAGCAAGATACTTAATCTCGACTAAGATTCCATTCGTGACTGCTCAGATATTGAAAGCAGTTCATGTTCAAATGCAACAAGATCTGGACAACATCCAGGCTTGGGCTGACAAGTGGCAAGTAACATTTGCGCCACACAAATGCCAGGCAAAGACCATCTCCAATAACAGACAGTCTAACCACTGTCCCTTGATATTCAATGGTGTTGCTGTCACCAAATCCCCGAGTATCAACATCCTGGGCATTACCATTGACCAGAAACTCAACTGGACTCGCCACATAAACACTGTGGCTACAAGAGGAGGTCAGAGGCTAGGAATACTGCAGCAAATAACTCACCTCCTGACTCCCCAGAGCCTGTCCACCATCTACAAGGCTCAAGTCAGGTGTGAGATGGAATACTCCCCATTTGCCTGGATGAGTGCAACTCCGACAACATACATGACACCATTCAGAACAAAGCAGCCTGCTTGACTGGCACCGCATCCACAAACAACCATTCCCTCCACCAATGCTCAGCCATAGCAGTGTGTACTATGTATACAATGCACTGCAGAAATTAATGAAAGATCCTTAGACAGTGCTTTCCAAACGCATAACCAGTTCTATCTAGAAGGGCAAGGGCAGCAGATACATGGGAACACCACCCATTGCAAGTTCCCTCCAAGCCACTCACCATCCTGACTTGGAAATATATCGCCTTTCCTTCACTGTCACTGGGTCAAAATCCTGGAATTCCATCCTTAAGGGCATTAGGGGTTTACCTACAGAACATGGACTGCAGTGATTCAAGAAGGCAGCTCACCACCAGCTTCTCAAGGGCAATTAGGGACAGGCAATAAATGCTGGCCAGCCAGACAACATCCCATGAGTGAATTAAAAAACAACTTACGACATTTAAGGCATTCAAGAGGCCTGGGTTGATGCCCTTGCACAAGCTGGCTGTTGTCCCTCTTGGGCAGAAAGGCATGGCAGATGATGGGGCTAAAAGGGGAAACTTAGAGAGGAAACATATCCATTTGATCTCCACAATTCCTACTACCAACTCTGAGGGTTTTGGCAAAAAGCCTAACAGGAGGCTGTCAGAGCAGAGAGGCAAAGGGAGCAAAAATCTCACAAGGGGTATTTGCTAGGTAAGGGTATTTCAGGTTAGAAACCAAGATGAAGTTAAGATACAGATTAGCCATGATCTAACAGAATTGCAGTTTAGGATCGGGGACTGAGCGGCAGAAGCACCCAAGAAATTAATCCAAAATAATCCCCCAAGGTTAACTTTATTACAGTAGCAAAACAAAGATAAAGCCCAAAAACCTCTCACCCTGCTGGAAATGGTGGAGCTCCTTCTTGGTGTCCAGGGGCATCCACATGGCACACAGCGAAGTGCTGCGTGATTTCCTGCATGTCTTCATAGTTAAACAATGTATTGAAGCAAGATTTGTCTGCGAGTAAACAGCAAAGATTGAATGGTGGGAGAAACAGAGGAATGAAAACTTTCTTCACAAGAATTTTTGCTTTCTCTGTCTTTACAGAGAGTGGCCATTGGCCCAACTGGTTGATATCAGTGTTTATGGTTCCATGCAAGTCTTCATCCAACGTGACTTTGCTTAAACCCACTAACATAGCCTTTTATTCCTTCCTCCTTCACAAGTTAATCTTCATCCTAGTCAGTACATCCTGCTTCTGCCCATGAGGAAGTTGCATTACCCTGTCAGTTTAGTTTTAGATCTCTTTTTCTCTGACCTCATTGGGTTTCGAAGACACCCTCCCATAGATTTGCAAAGAGAGTCTACAGTCAACAAAGATGTATAGGGTAGGTGGATTGGCCATGCTAAATTGCCCATAGTGCCCAGGGATGTTTAGGTTAGGTGGGATCAACACGGGGAATTAGGGGAATGCGTCTAGCTGGGATGCTCTTCAGAGAGGCGATGTGGACTTGTTAGGCCAAATGGCCTGTTTCCATACTGTAGGGATTCTATGAATCTATGATGATTCTATGAATCTATGATGATTCTATGATTCATAGAGCACAGAAATGGACCCTTCAATCCAACTCGTCCATGCCAAGTTTCCCAGACTAACTTAGTCCCAGTTGCCTTTGTTTGGCCCATATCCCTCTAAACCTTTGCTATTCCTATAGCTGTCCAAATGTCTTTTAAATGTTGCAACTATACCTGCATCTACCACTTCCTCTGGCAGCTCATTCCACATACGAACAACCTTCTGCATGAAAAAGTTGCCCCTCAAGCCCCTTTTAAATCGTTCTCCTCTCACCTTAAGAATATACCCCTAGTTTTGAACTCCCCCCACCCTAGGGAAACGACACCTGCCATTCACCTTACCTATACCCCTCATGATTTTATAAATCTCTACAAGGTCACCCCTCAACCTCCTATGCTCAAGGAGGAGAAGTCCCGGCCTATCCAGCCTCTCCTTATAATTCAAACTCTCCACACCTGGCAACATCCAGGTAAATCTCACCCGAACCCTCTCCAGCTTAACTTCATCCTTCCTATAACAGGGCGACCAGACCTGGACACAGTTGATGCTGGTTGAAGAATAAGTATTGAGAGAACTTCCTTATTCTCTTTTGAAATGATGCCAGTTCTTTCAGCCTGAACAGAGGGAAGCATCTCAGGTCTTGCTTTAACATTTTAACACTAGAGTGTTCCACAGTGGCTCAGTGGTTAGCTGGCTTTCTCTAGTCTGGTGAAGGGAATGCTCAGCTATGTCAATCTGGGCAAAAAAGAAGTAAACAGCACAGGGTTTCAGCCCACTGTGTGCTCTTCAAGTTACTGAACAATCTGCAGACAGTCTGCTAATCCCATGCCCTAGATTGACCACACGCAGATTGAGAAGAGGTAAAACTTAAAAAGCAAAGACTTACGGTTGAGGCCTATGTCGTGATAAGTCAAGATGACAGGTCTGTTCCCCTTTGGAGTGCCTCGCATGGTCACATGCAGTACACCATGCGGAGTTTCAACGTCATGTTCCTGAAGGTAGAAAAGATCGCAAACTTCCACTTAGTCTTTGCTTACTTTTCTGAAATTCTGAATTCACAGAGCAATCTCTGCTAAACAGCAGCAGCAAACAATATCGAAATAAAGGAGAAAGCCATCTGGTACACCAGACCTGTGCCAACACCTTGATGGAGCTACCAAATCAATCTTTCTCTCCCTCTCCACTGCCCTTCACAGCTTTTCGTTCCGAGTATTCATCCATTTTTCTTTTGCGAGGTCTCAAAATCTGCTTCAACCAGTCTTTACAGCAGTGTATTCCCAAACACAACACCTTGGTACTTTAAAGAAAGTCTTGTTGCTACACCTTTCATAAAGTGCCTTAAAATTGCAACACCTGATTACCAACCCTCCTGTCACTGGAAACAATTTCTCCTTAATTACTCACATCAAATCTTCCATTAATCTTTCCTGTTCCAAAGCAACATAACCCTAGCAGCTCTAGTCTCTTCACACAACTGAAGATCCATGTTGCTGATACTATTCCAGTAAATACAGTCATATAGCATGGAAACGGACCCTTTGGTCCAACCAGTCCATGCCTACACCAAGTTTCCCAAACTAAACTAGTCCCACTTGCCTGCATTTGGTCCATATCACTAAACCTTACCAATTCATACCCGTCCAAATGTCTTTTAAATGCTGTAACCGTACCTGCATCTACCACTTCCTCTGGCAGTTCATTCCACACATGAACGACCCTCTGTGTGAAAAAGTTGCTCTCATGTACCTTTTAAATCTTTCTCCTCTCACCTTAAAAATATGTCATCTAGTTTAGAACTCCCCTACCCTAGGGAAAAGGCATTTGCTGTTCACCTTACCTATGCCCCTCATGATTTTATAGAAATTTTTCATTTAGGGTTGCAAACAAATTCCAACAAGACAGTTTGAAAACTTGAGTTAACAAGGTGCAGAGCTGGATGAACACAGCAGGCCAAGCAGCATCAGAGGAGCAGGAAAGCTGACATTTCAGGTCTGGACCCTTCTTGAAAACTTCAATTCAGTTTCAGACAATAACACAGAATGTTCTTTGTATCCGCTCCAAAGATGTGATGTCCTTCCTAAAGTGTGTGGACTCTGTTGTCTTTGTTGTTGCTGCTCTGTAATAGATTGCTAGAAAGTGTGCCCCAGGTCACCAAGGATAACCAGGTCAGCCCCTTCAAGTGGGGTATGTGGAAGGTGGTAACAGAGCAGATCAACACCAGATTTGTGGCAAGTTTTCAAGCTTCCATAGAAGCAGTTCATGGTTTTGCTATAAAGACAGACATAATGCTGAAGCTTTTTGTTTACACTTGCTAGAAGTGACGTGGGTTCACGTGCATTCTCTGCAAACAAAAAGAACTGTTCAAGCCTTCTGCCTCTACAGAATTATCCAGGAGCTTTGGGAACCTACAGTTTCCCAACTGCTTTCTCCAGGGTAATGTCTCTGCCACATTTGGTTTACCAACCAATCAGCACCCGTTTCTCCTGTAGTTTGAATTGTGATCGTGTGAAATTTGGAATTCTTGTGTTTGCCCTGATGAGGTAACAAAAAGTTCCAGCAACATGTCTCTTTTTACAGCAATGTTCAAATTCTGGATGACAAAGCAACTGCTTGTTCAAAGCACTTGGGAACACTTGCTTCCTTAACAATGATTAATTATTATACCACATTTAAAGTAACACAAGCAATAAAATCAAAACTGACTTTGAGCCAAAAGTAAGGATGCTAGGACAGATAACTAAAAAGTTTTGATCTTAAAAAGAAAGACTTGCATTTATAGTTTCTTAACCAACATGTTTATAGATGTTATGCATGCCTCTGGAGCAGGTGGAACGTGAACCCAGGCCTTCTGGCTCTGAGGTAAGGACATTACCACTGCACCAGAAAGACCATCAAGACTTCAATTTATATAGCTGCTTTTATAACCTCAGGATGTCCCAAGTGTGGTTAAGGCCAATTTTGAGCTTTAGTCACTATTTTAATGTAGGAATCATGTCAGCTAATGAGATAGTGTCAAGATCATCCGCTTACATGATGCTAGACGAAAAACAAACATTCACTAAAACACCATCTCAGAAATCCTGCTTTTACACTACAGAGAGGTCAGATGGGGTCTTGTTTAATAATGCATCTCTGAGATACAGCATCTCCATTATCATGCATGGATCTAGAAGTACTTGCACTCAGTAGCTATTAATAACTGCATAGTGATTATGAACCATTTTGACAAAAGCCAAAAGATCATTGAGCAGGTACCAGGCTATGCCTATGAAAATAAAGGGATTCAACACCTATTTGAGCTTCCCACTCTGGAAGACCTAGACAGCATATGGAATAGCAAGTATTCTTTGAACAACAAGGCATTTTCACTGGAATGTGGAATGGGCAGTGGGGATATATCCCCTTTTTTCTTTGAACCACAGCCTTGGGATCTTTTACATTCTTCCAAACAGTCAGAGGGAATCTCAGTTTAACATCTCATCCAAAAGACAGCAGCTCCAACTCTCTCTGTACTGCACTGGAGTATCAGGCTTTATTGTAGTGCTCCAACACTGGACAGCGCCTTTTCTTTTCCTTTATTCTATCACGGGAATTGGGTATCCCTGGCAAAGTCGCCAGTTGCTGCCCATCACTGATCGCCTTTAAACTGAGTGGCTTGCCAGTCTATTTCAGCGGGCAGTTAAGAGTTAGTCACATCTAGAGATACACATAGGCCAGACCAGGTAAAGGACAACAGATTTCCTTCCTTGAAAGACATTAGAGAACCAGATGGATTTTTACAACATTCAACAATGGTTTCAGTCACCATTACTGGGACCAATTCCAGATATTTTAATTGTATTTAAATTCCACCAAATGCCATGGTGGGATTTGAATCTGTGTCCCTAGAAAATTAGCCTGGACCACAAAGCCAATACCTCCACCAAGCTTATGATTCAGGGCAGAATGCGCCAAATTAAGGCACAGCTAAGTCACAAATCTCTCACTCCTCCTTTAAGATTCAAAATAAAACCGAACTGTTTGACCAAACCTTTAGTCATATTGAGCACTTAATATCTTCTTATCTGACTCACTGTCAAATATTGTTTTAACATTTTATCACATTAAAGGCTCTATACAATAGCAAGCTGCTATTGCTCAGGAGCATGGCCCCAGTGGGTCATCAGTTCCCAACATGGCTATAAACTCAGCTCTTGGTAGATTGAAGCTAAGGGGGTTAACTCCTACTTGCTCAGCTGCTACATGCTGGATGCTTCAGAAAACTGACGCATTACATTTTAAACCAAATATCATTATCCTAGCCCCAAGCTTTTAACACAGACATCACTTAGTGATAAACCTTCTTGAGAATTGGATTGGTTAGGAGCTGATGATTTAACTGGAAATGGGAGTAGTTCTACAGTGCTGGAAGGCATCTACAATCCTAATAATCAGTTTGTCACACGAACATGTTCAAAAAGGCTTAAAGAAGATGTATATTTATTTAACACCTTCTGTGGCCCCTGGATGTTCCAAAGTGCTTTACGGCCAACTAAGTACTTTTGACACATATTCTCTGTCGTAATCTAGGAAATGTGCGCAGCGAGATCCCATAAACAGCAATATGATAACAATTAAAGAAATCTGTTGTGACTGAAGGTTCAATGCTGGGCAAAGCATTGGGGCTAACACTTCTGACTGCTTCAAATTAGTGCAACGGGATCCACTTGATTTCTCATTGAATTTCTGGTATTTCAGCGCTCTAGTCGTGCTGCATTCCAATTTCAGCCTTGATTTTTGTGCTGAAATCCTGGGAACGTGATTTGAACCCATAACATTGCAACTCAAACATTGCTCTTACCCACTGAAAGAGCATAATCATCATCCAGCCCCCGCCCTCATTCAACCACATGGCTTTGGTCTTTGTCCAAACAAACACCTCATCAGCTGGTTGCTACCATGAGACGTTAGTGCTCAAAGTGTGAATGAAAGATATAAACAACCTTTGTCACCTGAGTCAATCCTTTGACTACTTTAGAAAGGTCAAGAAAATGGATATCATTTTATATGTGACTGTAGTTTCCGGTTATTCATTTGGTTCATAAATAACTAAACTGTCAAAAGTCTAAAAGTTAATACTCTAGGCATGATCTAGACTGCTAGACAAAAATGACAGAGGGAGAGAGAGAGAGCGAGAGAGAGAGAGAGAGAGAAAGGGAGAGAGACACAGACAGACAGAGGGAGAGATGGAGAGATGGAGACACACACACACACACACACACACACGAGCCCACTCCACCATTCGATAAAATCATGGCTGCTCTGATTGTGGCTTTCTAACTCCAAGTTCCTGCCCAATCTCATCAGCCCCATAATACTCATCAGTAAGAAACCTGTCCAACTCAGATATGTATACATGCAATAACATCACCTCCGCACACTCTGGGGAAGTAAGCCCCAAAAACTAAACCTTCTGAAAGAAGGGATGTCTCTAACTGTCTTAAGAGGAAGACCCCCTTCTTTTTACTCTGTGCCATTGAGCTCTAAGTTCCCCACAAGAGGGAACATCCTCTCAACATCAACCCTGCCCAGGCCCCTCATTTAAGGGCCACTCTCAATAAGATCATCTCTCATTCTTCTAAACTCCATTGGCAAACATGGTGGAGTTGTCTAAGGGAGGAATGTTGGCTCAAGAATAGCAAGAACTGCTTTGTTCTTTGTACACTGCAGCAGTGACTACACTGCACTGGTCAGCCGGTGGGCCTTATGGAATAGGAGTTCCCTGATTGGCCCAGATTAGCAGCCCCAATCAGGGAGCCCTGGCTGACAATATAAACAGGAGCGTCAGGGGTTCCATTCACTCAGAGCTGGCTCAGAAGGAGCTGGATCAGTGTCAAGGACTCTCCACATGTAAATAAAGGGTGTTTTAGTGATGGAATACCAGCCTCTGTGGAATTATGGAATCATAGAATCCCAAAAAGTATAGAAACAGGTCATTTGGCCCATTGAGTCC